TCGCTGTTTATATATGTAAGTAATACCTCCGCGCAGTATTCGCTACCATATTCGTTATCCGGTTTAACCCGACTCCATGCTAGATAGTCAACTTTTGTGCCGTCAGTCCAGAGCCACCTCCCTCCGTTTACATAATCAACTTGTCTCAGACCTATCCAAGTCTGTTTGGACCACTCGAGCTCCAAACCTGTCTTTGCCAGCTCTAAAACAGAAATAGATTTACGTGCGTACTTAAATTCGAATGAAATAAAACGCAATTACCGGCCACAAAGTGATTTTCGTCAGCGCTGTGGATTGAAGTCAAATGAGCTCCAACAACTCTACACATGCCCTCTGCGCTGATGAAAGTATTCCAGAAGAAAGTCTGTAGAGGGAAGAAGCACCACTTATACCAAGATAAGGGGTTTGGAATAAAATAATTTTTGGCATTTGATGCAGCTTTTTATCCTTTTTCAGGTCGGCATGTTTTTGATGAACGTTAGACAAAGACTTTCTTCAAGTTCACAGAAAACTGCAGCAAGTTGTTTCTTCATCGCCATGTTTTGCCATTTTTATGTTGATGAAAAAACACAATAACACGAGAATCCTATTTTGAGCTCTTCTCATCTTTCTCAACTCTTACGCAAAATCATTTTTTCGTACTTTTTTTCGTATAGTACTGAAATTCTGCAATTTGTGAGTGGTGGATGACTGCACCGTCGGATGTTAAAAGCTTTAGTTTCTGCGGTTCATCATTGTCGAAAATCTCAACTATGCGAAAGCTGCACTCGATTTTAGAAATGTGATCATTATGGTGTTGAATGCAAAACGAGTTAACTGGTACAAATAATGAAGTTTTTATTTAACAAGAAAAAATTAAAAAATCGAATATGCCTGGAGGCAATGACGTGGCAGATTGAGCACCTTGAAATTTTGATGTGGTAGGTTGCGTGCACGCCAGATATAAAGATGCTAAATTTCCCAGGAAAACTGCTCAAGCCCGTGCGCGCAATGGTAGGCCCCAGGCGCAGAGGCGGCATGCCGCAATGCTATAACAATAATGGTGGGCCAGCCTGTACGCTGGCGCGTCGGCGTCTGTTTGGCACGACCCTAAGGGTGGATCTGCATCTCCAACTTCTCTCATCCCAACTCAAAACTGAAGACTTTGGAAAACTGATTTTTGCCATTTTTGAGCTCTCTGAGGCAGATCTTCGGGATCAGAACGTTGGGTTGCAAAAGTTTAGGTCGAGGATGCCGAGCTACGGCTTGGCCAAAGGATTGACCGACGCAATGATTGTTGCGAAAACAACTAAAGTTGTCGGGTTTCTTGCTGCATTTCCACATCTTCATACAAAAGCGAACCAGACATTATTCGAATGAGAACTGTAAATTTGGTCATAGAAATTTTTGCAGTGTTATAACGTCGTCAAAAGAAATCTAACTTACGAAAGCTTTTGTACTTTGATCATTAAAAAGTATTTCAACGCGGCGAGTTACTGTAATTTTTAGGCATTACTTTAGTCAACGGTTGGTGGATTTTTGACGTACACGTAAATGTAACTCTTTTTATACAAAATTTTGCAAACCTTGTAGCAAGCATCCGTTTTGTGGAAGTAGGTCCATCCAGTCTCACATCGCGCTGAAAGAAAATCTCTATGAGGCAAGCAAGATTCGTATTAGTCTTGAACGGCTATGTCTAGGTGTCTAGGAAATAATTCTGTTGGAGCATTCAACAGAATCATTAGCCAAACAATAATATGTCAATGATGGGTAACCAATGAACGATAACATGAGATAACCACAACAACTCTCGAAGAGGAACGCTCTTGAACCATACCGTTATGAAGATGTTAGCTAAGCATAAGGACAGGTATTCATTTGCCGCTGCAATTTAGAAATTCAACCTCACAATGAAGAATTAGACAGTTTTCTTTCATAATTACCTTGACTCTGCCACAGGAAGTAATGAAAGCGGATCAGTTGGAGTCAGAGCTATGAATCGATAAGATAGTATTTTTTGTGAAAAAAGTCTCTTTGAAAAGCTTCAAAAGATCAACTTCCTAATTTGTTTTTCTGAAATTTGAACTCCTTCATTTTTGCTAATAAGCTTATGATTACTTCACCAAAAAATGCTTTTGATCAAGCAAGGCGCACACCATTAAATTCACCTAAACTTATAGAAGTCTGGGAGATGTTATTAGGTTAAAACTAAGTTTTGCAACCTAATATTAGGTTGCAAAAATAAGTTTTGCAACTCCTTCAATAACTTTCCTCTCGATGTGTATGACTCGCTCAAATTTTGTCATTACATAGATTACGACGTAAGCTACAAGCAATTCTAGTGAGTGTTGTGGTAAGTGTATAGTACGAGGAAAAACATCACAGATCATTAAAATTTTGACCGCGACTTTCTGTAAGAGGGTTATTTGACATGCTGATTGCGAGAAACATACTGAATCTGCATGATAGGAGCTTTTTTGTAGGATTATGCTGTAATGTAGCATTACGGTCTGAAGTTTTGCCTCAAGGAAGAAAAGAGGCGTTAATTCAACAAATGACCATGATCTTCGAATTCGGCAGGTCAAATAATCCCATGTAAAAACTTGGCGAATGGAGGTTCCGGCTTCTTAGGCTTTGATGGTTGTCCCCAGCAGCCTTGCGCACAGCTTTCAACTTTGCGAGAGCGCCAGATTTTCAATTGTCTTCCAATTTTTAATCCCTTTTCTAACGAGCCAAATGAGTCAAGCTTTGAGAATAACTTGCATACAATTTCGGGTTATTGTGCATGATCTGAGGCGTATGTATCAATCTCTCGTGTTGTGGTCGGCCGATCATCTATAGAAAATGATCGCCCGGTAGATCGATCATTTTCTATAGAAAAGGCCGGGAAGGAGAGCCCGACGCGTGATGCATGAAATTCGCGGACGCCCAACCGGCACGGGCAGCAGCACCCCACCGCACTAGGTCGGGTTCTGTTTGCTCGTTGTGAGCAGACACGCCTTTGTTATTTTACGCTTAAAAGGAGGAATACGAGGCAAGGAATCAGATTTACTTGCGTTTTTGGAAAAGTCGACAGGAATTAGG